TCCCGCCCGCTGGCGCACAGCCCGTTTCTGCACGCGGGGCGCGGGAGCGATCCCTCCCGCCGCGAACCAGGCAGCAAGTCACCTGCGGCTCTCTTGGGGCTCCCTGTTCAGCCTCCGTGTACAAAATCAGTTAGAGAAAGGAAGTTGTTAAACTACTGAACTGGAATTAAAGGTCGAATGTGCTTATCACTAGTCTAAGATTAGATACATATTAAAAGAATGACATGGCTATTTCAAGAACACACATTACCCAGGAAATTTGGGATTCTGATGACGTTTAGAAGAAATTTGAGCCCTAAGCTGTAGAAAAGCACAGCTACGGCACTGATACAGTCTCAGTTTTGGCCCGCGCTGCCACCATGAAACTAAGTGTGGTGAATGCAACTGGGGACCACAAAGCCTTCAAGTACCTCAGTCACTGATATGTGTTCACTTCATGGCAGGCAACAAGGAAGTGAAGCTCATCCAAGTGCCTTAAACAGTAGGCAACAGTAAATGGCATTTCTATCTACTTCAGGGTATCTGAAACTTTTATATTATAGAGCTCTAAGAACTGAGTCTAGTAAAAGTTACAACACTTCCATATTGCTAGAAAACTGTCACTTCATCTGTAAGTTGTGCTCTTTCACTATCAATTTGTGCTCAAGCAATACTGACATCCAGAAAATGTGCCTAGAACCACTTGGTACTGGTGAAAATACCTAAGCAGATTATTTACTGAGTGAAAAACATTTGACAAATGTAGTGACGAAATAACAATCATTTTGGTCCCACTGGGGAACTGGCTCAGAGCCTACCATGAGCTGACCAGGAATGTCACAGTACACAGCAGCAATTTACTATATTTTAAGATATTTTTCGAAGCAAATTTATGTGATGAGAATCCTTAAACTGAGCCCATGTCTATTTTGAGGCCTGTTTACCACAGTGGCTCCCAGTGCGGTAAATTACCCAACTGATCAAAATAAACGGAGAAAGAAAAATAGGCCCGACATCCCAATCAAAAACAAAAACAAAAAAACAAGAAGAAAGAATAAGAACCACCTCATCCTATAAATTTGCTCTTGGCCACAAGCCTGCCTGCCTCAAGGCTTGTGCCTCCAAGGTGGGATTAGGGGTGGGCTCTCAGCTTGCCCATAGATGGATTCCCAGCAGAACTCATTCTAAGCTACCACGTTGGGAATAATTCTCTTGATATATTTTTTAGTTATCAGTGAAAATGATTGCTGATACCTGCATTTCGGTTGCTGGCTTTAGTTACAATAAAAGCTATATTTGGATACGTTAAGGGCTGTTCAAAAAATAAGAGACTAGCTGAGAGCAGAACAGTGTGGCAGCAGGAAGCTCCCAAACAGAAAACCCTCTCGATCTTCATGAAACGTGTTAGCAGCAAAGCAATTCAGAGACTCAATACAGTAACAGAAAAACTCCTGTTAAAATATCACTCATCCAGGAACAAAGACAACTTCTAAAGTGTTTACGTTAGTAACACTAAAAAAGATGGGTACCAAGAGTTATTTGGCAGATCACATCCGCAGAAAGCTCAAATGCACAAAGAAAATCCATTAATAACTCCCTCCAGAGAAAACAGGGCCAGAACTCAAACATTCCCACTGTATCTAAACATGGCAAGATTATGCGAGAGCTGAGCAGCTCCAGCAAAAGATAAAGTGAAAAACCCCACACCTCTGCAGATGGTCAAAGCAGAAGCTCAATGCAGAAGCCAAGTGAATTGAACAAATTAGCTTATGCTGTCAGGCCTTCAGTTTAGCTCCAGTCCAGAGCGAATCAGAGAGAAGAGCTCAGGTCTGGGTGACGTGGGATCCAAACCTCCCTTCACCAGACAGGAAAGAGGCAGCAGTCTCAAGTCAGGAGGCACAGCAAGCTAGAGTCCCTGGGCTCACTTAGCTAACACAGGCAGGCTAAAGATAGCCACCAGACTTGTACTGACATTGCACGTGGTGAATTTCAGCCGTGTGCAACTGTTAGGAAAAAATATTCCTCTCGCCCAACAAGCTAGACAAGATTACTGTATATGGGCAAGCATTCCCCTGTGAAGGGCTTTCTCTAACTCTCAGTGGTAAACAGGCAATCCTCTGGCTGCACAGCCAAGAGCAAGAGATCTGTGCGGTCTTGCAGGGCCATGGGAGATTCATTCTGCCTGAAATCAAGAATGCTTGTTTTCAGCAATGCTTTCATCTCAGGGCAACCTAACAGAGGCACAGAGTCAGGCCGAGGAGGCTGAGGCAGGAGAAGGCCAATGAACAGTCAGACAAGAACTGTTTCTTAAATTCTGGTGACTTCCAACTTTCAAACAGCTCTTCAGTCCCAGACTCCTAGTGTACCCTTGCTCTATGGGGGTCTCCACAAACACGTTAACCTACCAGACAGACAACTGCTCTCCCACAGGAGTCACCAAAGAGCACAGCTGCTACTGACACCGGTCACAGAAACTATTACTTTTGTTAAGACATTCCAAATCAAGCTGAGACCACTCATGGACAGAGGCTGCGGTGGGGTAGGACACAGGGACTATCAATATGACCTATTTCTAATCTTCTGCAGGCAGCTGGCCAGTTGGCCTGCTTGCTCCTGAGCCTGACCAAGATGGCAAGGGTGGGACAGGGTGCGCGGCCACAGAACAGCGCTGTCCACCACTACTGGGCCTGAAAACTGTTCACGTTTTTTGCTTCAGATGAGCACAGGAACACAAAGCTGGACCTTTAAGGCCAGAGGCTCTAGTTCTCCTGGAACATTTGGGAGCAGAACATTTTCACCGACTTTTGTAAGAACGACATTAGAGCACTGCAAGGGGTACGCTGACTTCAGCAGAGCTATTCTGCATTGACGCTAGTTCAGAGAGCAGATCTTCTCCACAAGCAATCTGCACAGGTAATTCAGTACTCTCTTCCTAACAAAACAGTATGATCAGTGGCAAAACAGAATGACATTAGTTCCAATTTAAACGTAGCCCGACATATTACATCCTTTGGACTATCCAATTTCTTTGCAACTCACATCAGGCCTCAACTCTGCGACTGTTCTTACCCAAGCTGATCCCAGGGCACGAACAAAACCTTGCGCAGCTGAGCAGAGGTCTGCCCATGTGGATTTTACTCAGCACCCTAGCTGGAACATCAAGGCTGTGTTTTTTTCCCACAGTTTTAAAATCAGAACTAAACCCAAGTCAAGCTGAGCTCACAATTCTTCTGCTCCGGGCTTCCTGTTGCCATAAAAGAACAATTATCACAGTACAAGGAAAGCGACAGATTGGCACATCATTGAATAGGTGCTATAGGAACCACACAGTTCTTCAAAGCAAAAGATTTCTTCTCCTTCCCCCTCAAAAAATAGCCTAATTAATTCACATATTTTCTCTCTATACTGTATATATATATATTTTATATATATATTATATATAGACACAATTTTTGGTAAACATTTACAAGATATGTTTGCAACATTGAAAAGATATATCTCCATTTGCATAACAATGCACACTCACATAATTCAGTATACAAGGACACACAGTAATGTACAATCAATAAATAAATACTTTTTCCCCCAGAAGTTATTCAAAAAACACTGCTATTGAGCGGCCCAAAGACACTCTCAGGTAATACAGACAGCAAATATTGTGCAGAATTTCTTGGCTGCTTTTGTTTAAAAACCAAGAAAAGAAAAACTTAAGTTTGAAAAATAAAGTGTCAGAGATGTTGCTTTATAAGACTGTATTTAAGTTCTTGTCCCTCAGACAGGGGAGGACAGAGCTCTTTCCCTTCCCTTTCGGAAAAAGTTACGCAGTCAAAGTCAAACTCGTACCTGTCCTAAGACCTAGGGAGTTAGCAGAGGTCTCTGAACAGGAACACAGTGTGGTTGGGAGGGCACAAGCTCCACTCCCTGCTTTATGAAAAGATGAAAAATTCACATTCGAACTGGCAGATTTGAAGCAGATTTGTGCCTTTGTTCCCTGTGCTACTGCACATTGCAGACCAAACACTTTTTGGAGATTTAATGCATAAAATTGCCTCCAAGAATTTCCTGCGTTGTTGGTACTCATCAGGAATATGAGAAATAAAACACTCCCCATTACTCTCACCTGCTGCTGCAGCCCTCTCCCCCACAGGGTTCAGTATGCACCACCTTTCTCTGTTTTTGTAGCTATCACCCCCTCTGTATCCCAGCACTGCAGAAAGACCGATTTGCTCAAATACTGCAGACTGCTTTACCATACTCTGCAGGACTTTTCTGAAGCAACAGTTTTCTCCTCTGTAGCTTTATATCTTTCTTTTTTCTACGAGCAACATCTGACACATGCCACAACTAAATACAAAAAACAGTCGGCACAGACAGGTGTTCCACGGAAGAAGGGAAGGACCCCCTTTCCCTTCTGGTGAGCAGCACTCCACCAGCAAGAGAAAACCGGGGTTTGACCTTGCAGAGGGAAGGAGGGAAGCACACATATCACACTTCAAGGTGGGGGAACATAGATTTTTGCAGCAAAATTTGAAAGAAAGTACCCTTATAGAGAGCTACAACAAAGCATCTTCCCTGCTGCTAGAAGCACACAATCATGGCCATCTTCTGTGGCCATGAGAAAGCCCTCCCTGGCTGATCTGGACCTACCAACAACCTACACCTCTCCTTTTCCTTTATTGTTTTTACCTGAGTTGAAAAATGAATCCAAACCCTCCGCACCCCAGCCTCAGCATGACACAAAACTCAGCTCTCATCCTGGTAGTGCTGGAGAGGCACTTCATGCAGCGTGCTCCAAGGGCTGCGATGCTGGAGAGCCACTGCAGTGCCTCTTCCAAAAGCAAAAACCACTCAGGGACCTTGGGCTATCTACTTCCTCACAGGCGTGACGTGAAAGCAGCCCACAAAGACCTGACTGGAGACTTTCAGTGGACTTTGAAGGCTTTGCAGCCAGCCCCATAAGCACACACAAAACCTGCAGGCACTAAGGGGATTGTTTGCACTGGCTAGCTTTAGGCAGCTGGTCACTGTAATTAACAGAAGAAGACACAGGGACCTTCAGAGGGAAAGTCAGAACAGCCGCCTATGTCAGGAGCTTTGACTTGCCTTCCGAGGAGCTCTCCCCTACCTTGGGTTGCAGGAACGACAGGGAGACCAGACTCCTAACGTAAGCAGCTAGAGTAAGGCAGGTAATGAAAACCTCAAGTCTAGAGTTCCCAGAAGAGGTTAGGACCAGATTTTCTAGTGCTCAGAGCCCATTACAGGGGCTAGATTTTGCAAGAGAAATCCCATGCTTAATTTGGAGCTCTTCTGAAAATCCATCCAGAGCTGAAACTCTGTGTGCTCAGATACTATAGTAACAACAAATGTCGAAACCCCAGGGGGAGAACAGGCCCCTAAAAATTTTTAAAGGGGATGCTATGCACCAAGGGGTAAGATCAAAAGAAGAGGAACTTCTATGATCAGAGTCCCTCTCTGTTACTGGTAGAATCTCATAATGCTAGTAAGAAATAGAGTACTGAGCGTCCCTGTCTTGTCTCAGCTTGCAGGGCTGGCTGGCTTCCCTGTGCCACAGAGTAACTGTTGTCAAAGGAAGCAGCTTTATTTCCTTGCAACAAAGGCTGTTGAGCCCAAGTCAGCCCCAAGGAGGGCTGGCAGCATTGCTCTCCCAGACCCCAAGCTCTGACCTGGGATGCTGGCAACTGCTTTTGCAGTTGTGGTGGTAACCAGACAGGCTGCACTTCTATTGCAGCAAGGCAAGGAAGTGACTGCCTGGGTTCTGCTTCCAAAGCAAGTCTTCAACAAGAAAATGCAGTTGTACAGATCTTTGGTTAAGTCACTGAAGAATGCTGAGAAGAACCAAGCCAGGGGCCCCCTGACCTAACACTGAACACAGCATTTTGAGAGCTAAGGGTACTTCCACTTTAGAGAGCAATACGTGTCCAGCTACCTTATTTCCACAGGTGTGGCACTTCAAGAAAAAGGAGAGGGGGAGGAAGCATTGAAGAGGAGTCCCGGCTCTTTGTCTGGATGCCTCATCTTCCCCAGGTCCTTCATTTGTTCTCAATCAGGGTCTGGACTTTATATACAAGGTCCCGAGCCAGCTTCAGGATCTGCTTGGTGTTGTGCCGCTCAGCCATTTCTGGAATATAGACAGAAGGAACCCATGAAGAGCCACGACCCAGAGCAGCCCAGTGTCCCCAGGGCAGTCCCCCCTCGTAGCTGTCTGTTTCACAGACAAGTTTCAAACAGCAGCTGAAGCTGCCAATTTGTGTCTGAGTCCCCAGGCACCGTCCCCTGCAGAGACATCTGACTCAGAAGGGCCATTATTAACCAGCTCGTCTTGGGATGATTACCGCCAGCAGGAAGCAAAACCTACGCTCACAGCTCATGTCAAGCGTAGTAGGTGTTTAAGCAATGTAAAGTAGGCTGCTGCCTAGAATGGCAGACTGGCTTCCCCCAAGCACCATATGACCCCTTCAGAGCCTTGCCCTTCAGCATCATGTTCCAAACATCAGTGTCTCGCAACCATACACTGCTCTGTTCATTTTAAACATCTGTCGGCCTAGTTGGACATGTAACCTCATCACAGACATTTGCTGGTTACATCTGAGGAGCTGCCACAAACTCAGCCCAAGAGAACACAAGCTGTACCATTGAAAAACTTGATGATGTCTGTAAAATCCATGTTGTTCTCCAAGATGATGTCTCGGTACATTTCCACCAAAGCTAGGGCTATGAAGAGCACATAGTGTGCAGAGGAAACGTGTGCCGCTGCCCAGATGGTCTCCCAGACAGCAAACACATCATCATACACCAGTTCTGTGAACAGAGGAAAAAGCCCAGCCGTTACTAAACCAGGCAATGGCTTGCAGTCATCCCGATTCACAGAGTTCGCAGCAACACTAGGGAGACAAGCTAGGCAGTTTCTTCCCACAAGAGTCAGTTCCAGTTGGAAGGAATAAGTCATCTGTAGAGACAAATATTCTGGCCTGCAGCAGGTCACACAGTCTTCAGGATACAAACCTGGTGGAGGTTCACCACCAGCTCTGGGGAACAGGCTCTATCTAGACAGAAAAGTCAGTCCCAAACCTACCAGAAAAAAGCAGAACAGGAACACACAGCAAAAAATTAAGTCCAAACAACCAAAATTGCAGAGTCAGAATGAGTTTAGAAAGGTGGAAGCACAGTAGACCTAGCCTTCCCGTCCCATTTGCTAGTCTCAGCTGTCTCCCTCCCTGTACACACCTCTCTTGAAGTCCAGGAGAAACCATCGGTAGCAGAAGTAGAAATGAGTGTAATCACCGTTCTGGTGCATCAGCTCAAAGAGCTCAGAGTCTAGAATCTGCCAAGAAAAGCAAAGGAAAATCATCAATGCACACTGGAGGCACCAGCCATTCCTCTACTTCCTTCCCTCCGTTCCCACTACTCTCCTTCTATGTACCACACCGTCTTTCACCCAGCTTCTCCCTCCTTTGCAACCCTGTCACATGTTACTCCCAGGCTGTCCTTACAACCTCCATGCTCTCCTCCTGCTTGCCACCATAGAAAATTCCCCTCAGCACCTCCCACTGAGACTCCCCTGCCCAAGAACAGCTTTCCCTCGCTGGCCTGAGAGGCTGCCATCCCTGTGCCAGGACCCACCTACCTGGATCAGAGATCTCATGTTAGCAAAGTGGGTATCCATGGCTCCCCCATGGGGGAAATTCTGATTCATCCTTTTCATAAGCTCCGTGAAACAGCTGAAAGCCAGAGCCTCTGCACAGGGAAAACAGAGTCACTGCTCTGCTGGACAGACGTTGCTGTGCCTATATACTCATGCATCACTATACCCAGCCATCCAGAATCAATAGAAATATCCCTCCTCGTTTTGCACACACAGAGGAAAGTGCCTTCACTGTCTGCACACCAGACAGGGACTGGCCTTGGAGACCCAGCCCACAGCTCATACTGTGAAAGGCGTCTCAGCCCCAGCATGGTAGGGTACAGAACAGATACGGTCCCCATTGGGCGTACTGGGAGTCAGACAGCAACAAGGACAACTGGGATCCTGCCCTGAGCTCCTCCATACCTCGGAGCACAGGACCCTCCTGCTGCAAAGATGAACCAACCCAACAAATCCTCCCCACAGTCCCACCAAGGTACCAGGAAAACTGAGCAGAGCCACCCACTCACCGTCGTCCAGGATGACCAGGAGAGGGGCTAGCAGGTCACACATCCCCTGCACATAGCCAATCTCAATGTGCTGCCAGATGTAGCTGTGTGAGAGAGCAGGAAACGCAGCCTGTGAACCATTCCCGTGCAGCAGGGCTAAGTCACTACACCTGCCTCGCACACACGGGCTCAGCCAGCCTGCCCGTGCTGAGTGCCCCGGCCTGCCTTGTCACCTGCTTGCACATGTCCCGTTTTCATTCCTCATATGCTGGCACTCTGTACGTGCTGCCATCAGTGCATGACAGCAGGTAGGGCAAATCAGACCTCTTTACTCTGTCGTGCCTATGCTCCATGTCTCTATAGCCAGCCTGTAAACTATTAAGTTCTTTTGATGACCTTCAGGTAAGCCATGCGTGGCACAGCCCTAGATCAACACCATGCAATGGCCATTCCAGGGAGAACAGTGCAGGAAAAAGTGAAATCAGAAAGCACAGCATGGTGGGGTGGTCTGTCAAAGGGCAGAGACCGACAGAGTTTGTTAATTCAGCTCTCATCCTCCCCCTTCCCCTTTGATTCATCTTCTTTGCTAGTGAAAAGCCTGTCTCTGCACGGTATCGCCTTCTTTTGTTCCCCTGGATTCAGTGTCCTAGAGAACAATCAGCCCTGCAGAGATATCTTCCCATATTTGGTAGCAAGTCAAAATGTGTTCAGAAAGGACTCAGATCCACTGCTGGCACAAGGAACAATCTTTTCCATCCTGCCCACCAGTCTTCCAAAATCTGCTGCACTATAGGTCTCGTCTCAGCAGAGATCTCAGACTCTGGCTGTCAGATAAAATGACAGCTCTAATAAAATAGCTGCTTCTCCTCATATTTGCAATATGAGTAATCAAGTTTTAGCTTCCCTTGTCCCTGAAGCAGCTACAGCGGCTGAGCCGGAGATAGCTGGGTCTGTAAATGTCACACAGAAACCTCTTAGTCAGAGGAATTGATCACAAAAAAAAAATCATAAACCTACCCAGGTATTCCTGTCTCCTGGGTTCTTTTTTAGGCACTAACCACCAGGCTATCTCTTTCAGATACTTTCTCATTAGCACTAGAGCTCTGCAGACCAATCCCCATTACAACATATTTCCCAGGCATATTCCAAAAAGCACTTGGGCTGCGATGTTAACATTGCGAGGCAGCATGCACGGGCAGCCCCAGGCAGCTTGCCAGCAAGAGACAGGGAGCCCTCTGCTTTGGCCCAACAACTCAAACACACAGCAGACTCACAGAGTAAGCAGTTCCTAGCACAAGGCAGAACTGTGGGACTCCTCAACCTGGTAACCACGAGGCCTCTAGAATCCTACGTGACCATCAGCTCCAGTAACAATGAAGGGGTGTCGGGGAAGAAGTAAAGGAGGCAAAACTCAGTAAACTAAAGCAAAGAGTCTCAGGCTCCAGGCTCAAACTGGGTGACTCAAAGGTGCATTACGATTGTGGGGAAAATTAAGAAGTGAATTCTGGGAAACCAGTAACCACTGTCAGGAGCCTGTTCCTGGACAGATCCTGTCTGCAGGGATGGCCGCAGGGGTCCTCACTCTGGCCCCACACAGCTCCCACCTGCACATGATGTTGCGGAGTTTCTCCAGGTTGGCAGGGGTGAAGTACCAGTAGTTGCGGTCGCAGCGCTGCACATCCTTCTCAATGCGATGCAGGTTCACAGTGTACATGTCCAGCAGCTCTGGCTGCCCAAAATAAAAGCAAAGTTGATTTATTTTCAAATAAAGAACAACAGGAATGTTGCAAGGGCAAAGGAGCAACAGGGCAGAGCTTGGGTGGAAGGTGGAGAGCCACTTTGTGCATATTGCGGGACTAACACAGGGCAAATGCAGGCAAACAGTGAGACACCCACAAAGAAACCTAGTCAGCGAACATCACAAGCAAATACTTACAGAGTAGGTAACACCTGTTGAGGAGACAGGAGACACTTCATTGTTAACCAGATCAGCTACAGCCAGTGAATCCAGCTGCGGATACAAACTCTCCATTTCTGGCTCCTCAGAGAGGTTATCTTCACTCTCCACCAAGCTTTGCTTTTCAGCTTCGCTGTCTGCCCAGCTCTCTACCACGGTCAGGGCCACAGCGTCACGATCCCGCAGCACTCCCACTGAGCTCTCGCCCATTCGAACATAGTCCATGCCTCCACCGGTGGGAAATTCACCTTCCAGACTGTCTTGGCCTTGTAGCTTGCCCTCCTGCAGGGCACTGTCCAAGTTCTGCGGGCCTGGCACATCAGACCCAGCAGCCTTTCCCTGGGAACTGGCTGAGGATTTGTTGGTTTCCAGGGCGCTGTCTTCATTGCTGAAGCTGCGCTCTGAGAATCCCGATGTGATGGAGAAGTTCTGGGAAGAGGGATGGCCAGAGTCAGGGGAACATGTGCCGTTGGGAACTGTCCCATTGGGGATCTTGCTTTGCTTGCCATCTTCCAGTTGAGCATCTGCTTCAGTCTGCTCCACTTCATCAACTGATTCGAACACCTGCACAGCATGAGCAGAGAGCGCCATGAGAACAGGCAAGCCCTCTGCACTCAGCAGTTCTTGGGGACGTAATGCCCGTGCTCCCAGGGGCAGTGGTGAGCAAGCTCTGCTCTGAAGAAGATTGTATGTAGGAGGGCATTTCCCTGCACACATACACAAATACATTGACAGCCAAGTAAGCAGCAAGTCGCTCTTGCTTCTGCTTAGCACTCCAGCCCCAAAACGGGATGCCAACGAGCACCCAACAACCCACAAGTCCCACAGGAACAGTGTCGGGCATGTTGATGCTTGAGCAACAGCATCGCACACACCACAACAGGTTTACATGCGAGTCTGGGGATTGCTCACTGCAGCTGGCAGCCCTAGGCTGGGCCAGGCCCTCTGACAGTCACGGTTTGTACAGGTCTCATACAGGCAACAAGCAGAAAGAAACTCAGAGGACTCAAAGACATTTTGACTTACTAGTGCTGTGCCTGGCTGTGGCTCCACATCTTCAACCTGAACACCTAGCTCCTCTGTCCCACTTTAACCACACTCTCAGAGGAGTTTCTGGACACAATGAACGGCCAATACTGAAGATGTCCCCAGCCTTTAGACCCTCCCTTCCCCGCTTTAATCTGCAGGTCAGTGTTTGGTCATTTCCACAAACCACAGCCCACAGTCCCTGCCCCCCTCCCCCCCCCAAACTACGCTTTACTCAGCATAATATAGGGGGTAGAATGTCATTTAAACACATTAGTTAAAAACATGGTTGCTAATATATGGAGCAGCCAGGAGTCCTCAAGTGTGAAGGTCACATGGGGGTACGTCTCTCACCGAGCCTGGGCAGAGCAGGCTGGTGAATATTAAACACGGCCAACCAGCACACAGTTCTGACCTCAGTGGCTCCAGAGGCAGGCGCGTGAGTCACTGAACTCCCACAAATATGGCTTAAGTTTGCCAGAATTCATTATGGTTATAGACTAGTGATCAGCCCAAGCTGGGGGAGGGAGCCTTATGCTGTTGGGTAGCCAGCATCTGACTGGGCAAGAGGTTACAAAGCACTGCCTTTTACCTGCGTGCTGGAGCTGGAGTCGCTCTGCAGCCGGGCATGATTCTGTCGGCCAGAGCTGCAGCTTTGGGAAGACTGCAAGAGAGAGTGAAAAGGTCAGTGAAAAGGCAAAGAGCATAGCATCTCTACGCTGGAATTGGGGAGAGGCTGACCCCCCACTAATAGAGGTGGGCACATCTGCGTGTAAAGAACAAACGGAAAATGCATCCAATACGTTCTCAGATTTGGTCCACAGAACACATTCACTTCAGAGCAACTCTGCTGTGCAGATTTGTCACACAGCCCAGCACCCTGCCTCAGAGAGCAACTCACATTTACTGTTGGAGAAGATGATAAAAAACAAAGTCCCAGGCCAGCTCAGTTGTTCAAACACTAGGTTTGGTTCTGAAATGAACTGCTTTCTTCTGGCCTTCAGAGAGGGTCAAGCTGTCTCCCCGGAGTGCAAGTTTCTACTAATCCCTATCCTAATTTGGCAGCAATTCGACTCACTCGCTCCTCGTTTACATAAACAATGAAGTCACAGGCTATAAAACAATCCCTCTAAGCATGCTAATGCTTTTTCCTATTCTTAAAAGACAAATATTGATGTTTCAAGCCAGTCTCAGTCAAGAGTCTGTCTAAAAGTCAATGGCACCATTTTCTGGCTTCTAGTTGAAACACAGAAGAAAGCACTGGGCTTCGCAACAACCAATTTAGCGCCTTGTTTTGTGGATTCCCTCTGAGCAATGACCCTTCCTTCAGAAGCGAGTCCTCCCTGTTATCCAAGCCACCCCTGTGCAAGGCATATCGCCGCGCAATAGCCGGCAGCTACTCACACTGCATGCAAAGCCAGATATGCGGAGCATTGCAATTACGTCACACAAAAACAATAGTTTTAAGAAAGCACAGCACTTTTGGAACGACAGCAGAAGTTGTCCCCACCCTAACATTGTGGGTGTTTGCTGGGAAGGGCTCTAATGGAGAGAGGAAGGGCGATAATTTTCCTTCATTTCCATGGCAGCATTTTATAACAGGAAATTTCAGGTTTTAAAATGTGAAAAGGGTAAAACTTTGCATATATTAACTGTCAGCTCCCCTCCCAGCGCATGTCCCTGGAACAAGGTAGACAAAGATACCAAAAAAGAACCACAGAGGAGACACTGCAGAGATGAGAATGATTCACAGAGCTACAGCAATGCCGACTTAACAGCCCACTTCTGCTTGTTGCCCATGAGAGCTGTGTCATCTCAGCTCTTGCAAACAGATCCTGGCTCCAGTTTGCCTTCCCTGCACCTCTCACTCTCTATATACCCATGCAGCCCACATGGCTGGAGCTAACCTCATCTCTTTCCAGAAGTACCCACACCAACTCCCAAAAGGAAGCCAGATGAAGCCTCCATGGGGTAGGCACAAAGCTCAGAGTGCTGCACCCACTGGGCCCTTTTCGGCTTGGCCTATGTTTGTCTCCTGTGGTCGAGCGCAAGGTCAGATGTCCTGGTATCGCTCACCCCATCGCACAGGGCTCCTCCTGCCCACTGCCATGCTGCTCTCTTCTGGATGCCGGGAGAGCATGGCCAGCACTTCCCCAGTGCCTTCGTAGCCCATCCTGCACAGTCATTCTTCTCCAAGAACAAAACCCACATGGAAACAATCACTGGACTCTGTTCCCAAGACTGTCTTTAAGAGGCTCTTCCCTCCACGTGCTTTGGTTTGGGCTGTGGATCTCTCTCTTCACTACTCCACTATAACCCAATCCCACGGAGCCAGGTGCCTGGGGCCTGAGTCTGTCCCAGGTCTGTCACATGATGGCAAGGTGTACGCAGGCCTGCCCCAAACCCCACAGCTTCCTTCACAGTCAGTCTCAGAGCCACCCTCCTCCTCCCACCCACAGACCGCCTGTCCTGGGTCACAGCTCTAGGCTGCAGAGCTGCAAGTGCTACTGTGAACAATGCAGTTGCCAGAGCCAAAGCAAAGTCAACTCACTAGATGTCCAATACACCACTCAGGCCCCAAACAAAGCCTCCCAGCCAGTGCAGTACAATACAGTGTGGAAACTGGGGTAATATCACAGGAGGTTGCCAACTCCAGCTTCTAAACTCTCCAGAAGCGCAGACAAAAGAAAACAGATGAGAAAGCTCCTAACCTAGCTTGCATGCATTACAGTGTGCAATGAGGCCTAGGGCCCAGAGGCAGGCAGAGATCAGGAAAGGACAGTGAGCAAGGAGGAAAAACTCTGTCTCCGTTCCTCCCTGTAGCACCGGCTGAAATGGTGTCTGGGTGGCAATGGCCCTTCCCAGGTTCCCTGCTTCCTCACCTCGTTGCTGATAGTCGAGTCTCTGTGCATCATCCTCTGAATGTGGGAATCTAGACTTGCCCCAGAAGAGCACTTGGCCAGAGCTGCTGCGTGCGACTCCTTCTCCCTCTGCCGGACGATGGCCTCGCAGCCCAGCCACTCCGCCATGGTATGCTCGTAGCAGGTGCGGACCTGGTCATCAGCCTGCAGCATTTGGAGACAGTGGGTCTCTGAGCAGCTGCCCCTGGAATAGCCCAGAAACCAGCACTTCCTCAACCCCCAAAACAGCCCTGCACAGACAAGTTAAGTGCATGCTTGCATTAATTATGGCTAGATGGGACATAAAATCACCTTGTCTGACCCGCTCTCTGCCAGTTAGAGAGCCTGACTCAGGAAGTCTTGCAAAAATTAGATTGGAAAATATGATCATCCACCTCCTTCCTGCCTGAAGGAGTTCCAGGCAGGAACGGGGCGCTCTCTGAAGGTGAGCAACTGGCAGCTGCACAGAGGAACTTCAAGCTTGGACCTATCATTTCCTGACAATCTGGATCTTTCTCCCATCTCCTGTCTATGGCCCCAGTACAAAGGGAACACAACGGCCTGTGGGTTCACAGCGTGGACTCTGGTATATGGATACTAAGAGCTAGGAAACATTCAGGGCACACCAATGCAATGCACCAGGTTGCCGAGTGCGCTGCACACCCATACAGACCTCTTTCCTTTCTGCCTCCGTCATCCCAAACTGATAGTGGCCCAAAAGGAAGGGCCAGACAGCCTTCCTGATCTCGTGCTGGATCCCACCATAGTAGATCAGCCGCAGCAGCTCTTGGTCCTCATAACTCTGCAAGGAGAATTGTGTGTCACCACACAGACACAGCCAGGACTTGAGACTCTTCGCTGGCAGACACAAAGGCAACCCCAGCTCAGCCACAACACCTTTCAGCACCCGCAGTACTGCTGAGACACTGACCACCCACACACTCGCTGCCTATTCATATAGAGCTACAGATGCTCTCTCACATCTCTGCTTGGGCCTAAGTACAGCCAGAGGCCCCACAGACAGACATTTTGGGAAATACTGGCTCATTACAGTTGGAAAGAGGCTCACAGAAGTTATCCAAGGTCACTGCTGTGCCTCTGTGCTCCGGCAGCATGTCAGGGCTGCAGCACCAGGCACAGCTCTTGCGCTATCTTGCTCAAGGTGACCAGAGCACAGTACTCAGGGCAGCACCACGGACACTGCTGCAAACCAGGCCAAAATAAGAGAGCGCTGAAGAGAGACAGCAGCCTTCATTCCCCAGCTCCTGCGCGTCTAGGATAAGGAGCCCTGCGCTCTGTGAAGCCTGGGGCAGGTTGTATGACTTCTCTTCTTGGGGTACACCTTGAATAATTTGCTTTACTTCACTGCGCCTCAAGCACTTTAGTGACCCTGCCCTGGACTCCCCAAGCCCACCAGAACTGACATGCCCTGAGAGTGCCAGCCCTACCGTGCTGTCCTGCAGGTATCTCTGCCATATGTCCACAGTCAGTCCCAAGCTAGCATTGCAGGGCACATCAGGAGACACAATGTTGTGGTTAACCAATGCAGATAGGTGGGTTCGCACCGTGGACAGGTGTCTGCAGTAGGCCAGCCCTGCATCAAGCAGAAGCAAACATTCACCGGGAGCACTCAGGGGGTCACAGGAATATAGGATGAAGTGCAGGAAAGAGCTCTAGTGAATAGGGTTCCCAAAAGACAGCTCCTGAAGCCACATCCAACCTAATCAGCCAAGCAGGGAGTCTACTGGGACAGGCCAGTATTTCGTTGTCTTACACCACCAGCATCACTGCTCACTGGGCCAAAGTCTGAGGATCAGAGTCGGAATGCCTGCTCCCAATCCTGAACATGTCTAGGCGTGGCCCTGCATACAACAGACTGACCCAGTGCCCTTGGCCACTACCCTGCTTGCTGCCTTAGCACTGCTCCTAGTCCTGAGCCCAGGACCTTATCCCTGGACCATCACACATCTCAGAGGCAGCATAGGGAAGACAAGTACTCACATCCATAGAAGGCTCGGGAGAGGATCTGGTACTTCATATTGTCACACAGGAGCTTCAGTGGGGCTCTGTCAATAAAAACATATGAGATGCGAGGAGAGGAAATGCTCCCATGCATGCCCTCAGCCTCTGCTTTGCTCTAACTGTTCCAGCTTTGCCTTCTCAGACATCTGAAAAGGCAAGAGAGCAGGCCAACCTGCTGCACAGGGTCCCACCAAGGAGCTGGGCTGGCAGGTACCAAGGCAGATACCTGCCCTGCACCTCTGCTTAGCTTGGGATCAGCCAAGACAGCCCAGATCAGGAGACAATCCTCACTTCGCCCCGGATACATCCCACAGGCTGCCCACAGCTAGTGCAACTGCAAATGGTCCCTGGACAACTGAGTTGAGTGTGAGGCTGGAGACACCACTTGCACCATAACTGCACTAGTTCAGCCCTCCAAACTCAGCTGGGCTTTCAATTGTAACCGTTGTTCTATTTTATCTGCATTTATCAGTGCAGCATTAGAGATACCTTTCATGGCTGCAGCCATTGGAGGGCCCACCATCAGAGGAGCCACTCTGAGAGCAGGAGGAACAGGAGGACTTGCGGGTGCTAGGATGCCACATGGCAGGCAGGCCACCACCCTGCGTGTCCATCAGGTCCTGGGGGACTGCAAGAGGGGAGGCGGGGGGAAGAAAGAGAGGAGCATCAGCTGCTGTCTTGCTAGTGCCTCTAGAGTCAGGTGGGCCACAGGAGGCCAATAGAATGGAGAATTTTGATTAGTGAACACAGCATCCTGCCATCTTCCCAAGGAGACTCCCAATAACCAGGCAGGACCTATGCCAGGCGATCACAGCACCAGCACCGATGAGCTCAGGAGAAAGGAATGGAAACAAAGGGTACTGATGGGAAAGAGCAAGAGAGCACCGTCCGCTAATTAAGTCCAGTGCCTTCAGCAAGCTCATCCTGAACCACCGAGTGCCAGCTTAGGCAGAAAATGAACAACCAACCCAGAAAGACTCAAGACAAGGGGCTGCAACAGGCTCCATCACAAAGAGAAGCAATAACCTGATGAACCTTTGTCCCAGGAAGAACAGATCACTGGAAGAAAAAAGGCCCCATCTCTCAAACATCAGGATCCCACATGAGCCTTACGGAAAGAGGGGAGCACCCAAGTCACAAGACAGGGAAAAAAGAAGACGACTTTGATGAAGTGGTTGAGAGAGACAGCAGGAGTAAGCAGCTCTTTATGTTGTCATTTGCTAAATCCCTGCTTAAACTCAGAAACTCTATTGCAAAGGCCTCAGATTTTCCTTTCTAAATGCAAGGCCAACGTACTGCCTTGCAAACTGGCCAGGTGCAGAGACAGTGCAAGGTAAGGAGACAGCCCTGAGACACTGAATCACCCTACCCTCACCCCTGAACAGCTTGCCTGATACTCTGACCTGGAATGGCCCTTTGGTCCTGAGCCTCCCTAGGACAGGGGCATCACGATGAAGGTGAACTGTGGGATGCAGACAAAGGGATTAGGGAAGAATAATACTATTTGTTCCTCCCTGGAAATAAAACATTGGTAGAAATTCAAGCTTCCAGCTGGGAAAGGGCGTACTCACTCCCTGCGAGTCTCACCAGGTCTCCCTGCTTGTGATATTGAATAACTGCTGATACTGGCAAGAAAAAAATTGGAATATTCTTACTAAAGCCTCTTCCCTCTCCCTCCAATTGAGCAGGTGCTGACAGGTCTGTTATCAGCATTGACAGGGGAGGCCTCACTGCAGGATTTATCAAATGACAGCACAGCCGAGCAGTTGTACCAAACACAAATGACAGCTGTATTACACTGATGCCGAACGGCCCCCAAAGTGGCAAGGGGAGGTCGGGATGCAGTGAGGAGACTCAGAGACCGTTTGGGGATCACCACCATCTTGCTTGCAGCTGGAGTCCTCAGGATCTTCCCTCTCCCAGCAGTGACAGAGATCACAGAAGCAAGGCATGGATGAAAATTACCATTAATGGTAACTAAGGACACAGAGACAGGACAAAAGCACAAATGAATGGAGAAAGAAATAATATGTAAAGAAGAACAAACTGATGCAGTTCCACCTCCCTCCTGGGATCATCCACAGGAACCACACAGACCTCAGTGATGCCAGCTGAGGAAATTAAAACAATTCATTTAACGGAAAATTTGGCCTCCAGCATGGAATTTTATGGAGTAGATCAAAAAGAAGCTACAGAAAGGACCATCTCTATCAGCTATTTTAGCCTCAAATTTTTATCTGACTCAGTTGTGTTACTCTGAGTCACACAGGCACAGAGAGGCAGGGGGAACTAAGAATAATTTTTACTGATGTTATGGAGGAGTCAGAGGAGACGTGAGGCCCCTTCTAGCCTCAAAAGTGTAAGAACAGATTTTTGGTCAAATTTCATAGCTTTTTAAAAGCACTCCAGCAGGTTTCTATTACACTCTTCCTTGCTCCTCTTATAAAATCATCTACAATGTTTCCAGAGGGACGATTGTAAAAGTCGTTCTTGGTATCCCAAGAGGGCAGACAGGGATGTACCATCACTTCAGCCAAACACATTGTTCAGATCATTCAGAACTAGATATTAAGAGAGATTTCTGGTCTGTGAGTCAGGCAGGATCATCCCTCTCACCCTATGAGTTAGGGAGGGAAGACCACGCGGGTCAAGCTTGATGGTACACAGAGAAGGGTGCTGCTACCACCCCTTTGTGCTGCAGGAGCAACGCAGAAGGAACAGAGCTGGATTTAGTAGAGTGCTCGCCTAGTTGGCCTGGTGTTAGCAAGAGAAGAATCAGACTCGGAGGCTTGTAATGATGAAAACTGATCCCATCCACGGACACCTGCTTCCTTGAAGGAGGAGGAATACCCAAGAACATGATCAAAGCGAACGTTGTTACTGAAGTTATGTATACATTTTTTTTAATCATACAGGCATTCATGTCCTATTCTACAGCTGCAGAAACAAAGGATTCAGTAGCAAGCAAAAGGTAAAAAACACATTGTTTTTAATAAAAAGCAGTAATGCTAAAAACTCTTCTCTGGAACCACTTCCCAGTACAGTTCACAACATGCCTGTCCGTGCTGGATCTTGGGCTTGTCATACACCCAGTGATAACCCACCCGAAACGCTCACTGTCAACACACTTACCAAACTCAGACTGTGTCCCTGGGTAGATTATTCTGAAAACATAATCTGTGGCTTCATCATCTTCCTTGTCGGACGCAGACTCAGAGGAGCCCTGGGGACTTCGCTTCCTCAGCTTGGGAAACACCTTCCCCTAGATGAATAAAACCTGCTCTTCACAAAGATGCCCCATGCAGGGTGGCCGCCACCTCGTTCTCCAAACTCCTGCCTGACAAAAGCACGTGCTCTGTCAGCCTGGGCTGATGTTTGTGTATTCCCTGAGCCAGAGCAGACTCTGGGCCAACCTTTCACTTAGGCAGAGAATAAATGACTCCGGTTATGCAAACAGCTGCTACAATCCATGTAGCATGACAAGGTCCATTGGACCCAAACCTACCATCCCTTGTGGACAGCACTCCCATACCTCCTCCCTTCCTACAGGTATGGAGAACGTACTCTTCTCCTAAGGGCCACGTATTGCAAATGGTTTGTGATTAGCCCAGAAACATTAGCTCCTCCAGGGCATGAGCTAAACCAAACTGCTGCTATTTCAAGCCTGCCTTTCTTCTTAGTTTGGAGGGTTTGTCATTTAAAATACAGCAGCCAATAATGCTAGGCAGAGGATCCTCCCCATTAGATTTGCTCTGAGACACTCCACAAGGAAACATCAACAAGAACCCACAATGCCATAGCCTCAGGAACAAGTCCAGTCCCTGGGTGCCTACCTTTCCCCGCTGTGACCAGAGGGGTGGATCCAGCTGCCCATGGGGTAGGAGGCCATTTTCCAGGCAGGACAGGAACTGCAGTAAGTGCCCCCCTTTGGGGAACCTCAGTGGAGGCCTCTGAATCCCATCCTGGCTCACCAAGACGACCGTCCCACCGCTGTCTACTATTAGCAACAGCAGAGAGAAGATACACACACAAGTGAGGGAAACATTAGTAGCCAGAAATACAGAGGACAATTGTCTTTCTGGTATACAAAATACCAGGATTTTCCTCCTTGTCTGGAATCTTCCTTGAGTCAATAACATGTAGGGGGGGGCCCTGAAGAAGGCCAGCCTGGGACATCATACCCCTGAAAACTACAGAGCACTGCTCTGCAGGAAGTCCTTTCGAGGCAAGAGCTGGTTTCAAGGTTTTCCTAGAAGGAGTTGCCTAGCCGCGACGACTTGGCACTCAGGACATCTGCCCTGGAGTCTCAGGACATCTGCCCTGGAGTTGAATCGAAACATTCCCATAAAAGCACACCCCAAAAATACAATGACGCAAATGTCAGGGTGATAAAAACAGCACACAACACTATCCAGGCCAGCAGCCCCCCGACACTCCAGCCTTACCTTGCTGGTGACAGTGCAAATAGACGATCTCCTCCAGGCGAATAGTCATGGCATAATCCCAGTACACACTGGAACAGAGAAAGAGGAAAAAGTCCTGAACTTGAGGGATGCAAGTAGCTCTGCTTCTCTTCACATTCCACTCCAGATCCTGCCCCCAGCTATCCTAATGCCTTGGAGAGGTAGAGACAAAATGTGGTCCCAGCAGCAGTGTGACTGCCACAAGGCCAGCCTGAGTCAGTGACAACATCCCTCCAGAAACAGCTACTGCCCCCTTTCTACTAGGACTCAATTAGGGCATGTCTAGTCCCAGCTGCCTCAGGCTGTTTCTTCACCCTTGCTTGCATCATCCCCTGACAGGGACAATGTGATCATGTATCCTGGCAATCCCAGGGAGGGACACAGAGTCCTAGAGAGCTGAGCGCTCTGCTCTGGGCACCCTGGAAATGACTCCTACCCTGGTGCTAAGAGACCCCCCTGTGAACCTGGTATGAGCAGTTCTGGAGCCCCAAGAGAACGTGTAGTGCAGTCTGAGCCTGGGCCGCTGCTCTGATGAGCTCCTTTGTCCAAGGGAGAGAGAATAAACCCTAACATTTTGTGTTTTTTCAAAGCTCAAGAATAGATTTGGCTCCACTTGCTTCAGAGCTGCGCTCCTCCAGCACAGGCACCACAAGGTGACTGAGCAAATCTACAATATGCTGCGAGCATTGCTGGTCAACATACAGGGCAGAGGGCCACAGAGAGACACCAGGAGCAAGCTGGGGGAAGGGAACCTCTCCAGGAGAGAAGGTGCTTCATGCAGGGTTTCCTTTCTGAGGAGAGCCTAGCAAGAGGACTGCTCTATGAGAGTGTCAGCACTTAACATCCTATTTCATTGCAAAAAAACAAATTTCCAGACCCTGAGAATCAATATCTGTCACTTTACAAAAGTAGCGCTTAAAATAAAGGCTTCATAAAACAGCTCATCGGGAGAGTTAAAGCTGGGGAGGGGTGTGTAGGAATCACTCCTGGGAGACTTGTACTTACTTTGTCATCTGGCGCCTCTCTTCTTTGGTCACATCTTGACACTGGGAAGTTTTAGAGCTTAGGCTGATGCCCAAGTCAAGAACTCAGAAAAGTAGTGCAGAGATGAAAATAACAATTTAGGGGGAGGGTATCAGTTATCATGGAACGGCCCCCCAGGAGTCAAGAGTAAAGGGAAGATGAAAGGAACACAGAAGAACAAAATCCCAAAACTACAATTGAGAATAAACAATCCGAGAACAAGTTCGGTTGAAGACTTTTGCCCCAGGCCAAAGAAACATGCTACGTCCTAAATGCTCCAGCTTTCCTGGAGCATTTACTAGCAGAAAGAGATTTTCTGTTTGCTTTGTTTTGTTTTTCAGACAATTTGGGGCCTGGCATGATTCAGTAGTTTGTTAAAAGGACTGCTGCTGTCAAGAGAAATGCCACCAGCACATACGCCAATCCCAGATGGAGGGGCAATGCAATACAGACTATCAAGCCAACTTCTAAGTAGACTTCAGTCCTACTAAAGGAAAAAAATCCAGGGACTCCATTAAATTCAGAAGGACTTTGAACACCTCCATGTAAGATCAGCTGCAAACTGCACTGATAAACAGCAACATGAAATGGCACACGCTCTGTTACCGAGGTATAGTTATTTGGGAACTGTTCATGTCTTCTCTCTCTCTCTTTGCAGATATTCCTCCCCTGTTTACAAGCTCTTCGGTTCCCCAGATTAACCAGTAATAACAACAAGTACAAATCTGAAAGCACTGTGTAATGTGTAGAGTGCATTTTCCTCAGGAAATCACTGAGGCCAATAAAGCACCGGACTTTGCATCTTTCAGAATAAACACCCTCTCCAGTTACCTTGCTGAACTCTTCCCAAAAGAGATGGGCTCTATGACAGCCTCTCGCACTGGCTCCCACAGCTCGTCTCGCCCATCACCACAGGCCTCCTTCCCTCTCCCTCCCTCTGTTATAAACTCCAGGAGGACTGTTCTGCTCTGTGAAGTCAGTGAAAAAACTCACTGACGGCAGCAAATGCCAGATCCAAGCTCTGAACCGTCAGGGTCATTTGCCTCCCCGCTCTGCCCCATGTTAGCATGCACTTAGAGACAGTCACCTTTTCTCATAGTCCAGATCCCCCACAGAGCCGTTCATCAGCTGATTGGGAGTCCATTTCAGTGCCATGATGTCGGCAGTCTGGTGAAGGGACAGATATCCCGGGATTGCTTCCATGTCGTCTCGCTTTAGAAAGGAAATGCGGGGAAAGCGGGAGATGGTGGGAGCA